TGACTGTATTTTTTTTTACCATTTACCATTCAAGATTTTTTAATTGGAATTAAAATACCTTATTTAAATATATTTAGATTTAAAATACTTCATTTTTGAAAATTGGTGAAATCGAACCCGCGATTTAGTCGTTAAAATACCTTATTTAGTCATTTTTGAAATACCTTATTTAGTCGTTAACGGACGTTACAAAATATTTAATGATGTTAAATTTGAATCCCACATGTTTGAATCTATATATACAATGTTCTTACATTATTTTATAAATGTATTGTCGTGGTCTAGTGGTCGTGTGGGTTTTATATACGTGGGTTCGAATCCATCAACTTTTGCTTTTTAAAACCTTCCATTGGACCACTAGACCTAGACCATCCATTGGTAAAATCTTGTAAAAATATAGTATATATCTATGTATTTCTATCCTAACAAAAAAAGATTGGATATTAAATGGCCAAATAAAAAATAAAAGAGATTTTTTCAAAAAAAGTTTCCAATATTTTTAGTTTGAAAATAGTATGTTTTTGTATTTTTTTGGAAATGTTATAATTATTTTTGCTTTTTTTTTTTGTTATACATTTATATAGCTTTAGCTCATAAATTTAGTTGGGCACATATTCTTTTTTTTTTTTTTAATGTGGGCCAAAAAAATCAATATATATGGTGCCTTTGAACTTATTAACCATTTGTTATTCTTTTTCTTTTGTGATATTCTTAGTTTACTTTTATCTATTTCCTCCAAATGAAATGTTATTAATTGGGCCCTTATCTATTCCCGCCATTTAGTTTACTTTAGGCAGTTCTTTCTGAGTGAACTATATCACTCTTTCTCCTTTATGGGTGTTCAGTGTTCACTAGACAAACAAATATACTCTATTTCAAAGTAATATGTATACAATTAATATATATTGCAATACGATAAAAAGAGTACCATATCTGGAATAGTGGAATGGTTTATACGTTTGTTGATACTTAAAGTAAAATTTTAATTTACTACATTATTTGGTAGAGTACTCATCTGAATATATATTAGTAGTTGTTAGTACTTAATTAACTTGAAGGTAAAGTGTGCAAGTCATAATTTTATGTTACCTCTGAACATATACTTCCCAAAATAAATTTCATTCGTAAAGTTTTATATGTTACGTAATCGATACGAATAAGACAAAAAAAAAACAAAACTTTATTCAGAAAACCATTGTTATAATAAAATTCTTATCTTATTTATTCCACTACTAATTCAAACAGTGATTAAATTCACCATTTATAAAATTAAAAGAAATATTACATACTGTTGTTGTACTATAAGGGCATCATCAATGGGAGATCATGTGAGGGTGTTCTTAGAGAAAATATAATGTTAAAATAATGTAAGATTATGTGTTTAGATCTTTTGTTTAGAAGTTGATTAGTGGGAGAACATGTGTAAGATCTTAAGATTTAATAATATAATAATCTAAAAAATTTAAAACATATTACAATTATTAAAACATTTAAAAATAACATATAAATTGCAAACTTTAAAAACAGAAAATAAAAGTGAAATTACAATACTAAATATTTATGAAAAAAAAACATTACAAATATAAATAACAATAAACAAACAAACATATTACTTAATAAAAGCACAAAAACATTTTATCTAATTAATACATAGTTTATTATCCAAATTTATTCCAAATATGTTGAATCAAGTCCTCTTTTAATTGGTGATGTGCTTGTCTATCACGAATTCTTGTATGCCCATCACCTAAACCCTCAAGATTTGTAGCCATATTTACTGAAAACGTAAGATCCCGAGGTATTTCGGTTTCATCGTCTTGTCGGAATTCATTTTCGTCATAAAGAGTGTATGAATCTCGCTCATCTTCGACAATCATATTATGGAGTATGAGACAAGCTCTCATAATATATGCTATTTTACCTTTCGGCCATAAAAGAGATGGATTTTTAATCATGGCGAATCTAGATTGCAGGACTCCATGAATGCACGCTCAACATCTCTTCGTGCACCTTCTTGACGTTCAGCAAACAAACTATGTTCCGGGTGTTGTGGTTTTGGGATGGATTTAACAAATGTCGCCCATTTGGGGTAAATGCCATCCGTCAGATAGTAAGCCAAATTATACTCCCTTCCGTTGACATAGTACGTCACTTCGGGAGCTCGACCGTAAATAATGTCATTAAAAACTGGAGATTGATCAAGAACATTTAAATCGTTACTAGTACCTGGCGCTCCAAAAAATGCGTGCCATATCCAGAGATCTTGTGAAGCTACCGCCTCCAAAACAATTGTTGGTTTACTGGTGCCTCGTGAATACATTCCTTTCCAAGCAGTTGGACAATTCTTCCACTTCCAATGCATACAGTCGATGCTGCCAACCATCCCGGGAAAACCTCGCTTTTCTCCATAAAAGAGTAGCCTTCGGAGATCCTCTAGTGTGGGTCGCCGTAGGTATTCTGTGCCAAACAAGTCAACTATTCCGACGACAAAATGTTCCAAACATTCACGAGCAGTCGATTCACCAATACGTAAATATTCGTCAACCGAGTCCGAACTGGTCCCATATGCTAATAGCCGAATTGCTGCAGTACATTGTTGTAGCGGTGATACACCATTTCGGAACCTTGCATCCTTTTTTGGTTGAAAATATGGAAGCTTTTCACTGAGACGATTCACAATACGCAAGAACAATGACTTGTTCATTCGAAACCGTCTGCGGAATTGATAATCCAAAAAAGTTGGATTATCACTAAAATAATCGTTCCACAAACGTTCATGCCCTTCTTCCCGTTTTCTATCGATATACGTACGTTTCTTCCTCTCGACCGGAATTTCATCTTCCGCCGGAATTTCCTCTTCAGCAGCTTGAAATTGATTATGAAATTGATTTTGAAAAAATTGGTTAAAACTATCATTATTCGGATCATAATGGTAGTGAAAATTATTGGAAGAAGAAGCCATAAAAGCTATGTATTAATAAGATGAAGAAATCAAATTAATACAAGAGAATAAACAAGCAATAACTAGTTTATGAACTAGATAGAGAGTTAAGAGAATTGTATGTTTTTTGTTTAAGAGAGAAGTGATTTGTGTTTGATGAAATATGTTCTCCTGCTCGTCTGACATATATATAGAGAGTTGCAAGTTTGGTCTACAAGGCCTTTGATACATAAAAAAACGTCAAGTTGATACCCCAAGACAAACACATGTGAACTTTGGTCTTTCTTACAAACGAAACCTGTGACCCTGTCAATTTTCCTTTTACAAAACATAAAAAAAAATTCACGTGCCTCTGTCTTTAAAACTACAATCCAAAAAACCAAACTCTGCCGACAATCATACATTAGCTGATGCACAAGTTGAGCAATGGTTTCTTCAAACCTAACTCAATAACAAGCCTCTCCAGTTTCACCAACAGCTCCACAGACTCCTCTTCACAGCTTGTGGTTGTAGTTTAATGGGCTGTTTACCTAATTCATCAAACATAGCCGATTCATTAAAAACATAAGAGAACAAGTTTAACATAGCTGATTACATATCTGATTCATAAACACATTAAAAACAAAAGACAAACATAGTTAAAACAAACATAAGACAAACAGACTTATCATCTAGTGTTTATTCTAAGTTAAAAAAAGTTCAGCAACTAGCTTCTTCTTTACAACTTTGTCTTCTTCATCCAAATTTTCTTTCTTGGCAATTAGACTGTCAAGAATGGACAGCTTTTGGAGTTCTTTCATTCCCTCCAAATCCTTCAGTTTTAGCTCAAACATTTTACTAAACTCAGCAGATGGTGAAGCAGATGCAGCAGATGGTGCAGCCGATGCTGAGGCCTTCTCTTTACCTTTGGTCTTCCTTAATTTTTTCATTTCCTTTATGCCAGGAGGCCTACTCTCGTGCTCACCTACTACAGAGCCTAAAGATGGTGCAGCATCATTGGCTTTGCGTTTGTTAGAACTGGTTAACTTATTAGGAGTGGGGTTCATAGCCTCCAGGTTTAGCCATTTTTGTTCATAGCGAAGAACATTCCAAGCATACTCCAAAGCAAACTTCTTCTTGTAAATATTAGTGTAGATTTGGTGAGCATTATGCAGAATATCCTCTTCATTCATGCCACTAGCTTTCTCATCATATGCCTCTGCATAAGTTCCACAGAACCTGCTCACTACTCTACTGATTTTTTGCCATCTTTGTCTACAAAGATCAGGGCGTCTATCTTGGCTCATCACCACCAAGTACATGAGTACTTGATGCGTAATAATCTCCTATCCGCTTCCAAAAGGACCCTCCCTTTTGATCATTCCCAACTATTGAATCTTTAGAGGTGTTTAACCAGCCGCTTATTAAGACTAAGTCATCTTGTGTGGACCATATCCTTCTCTCCCTACGTTGTTCTGCTGTCTCTTCTGGTTGACTAGGAGGTTGACTCGGCTGTGAACTAGTTTGTGAACTAAAAGGAGGGATTTGGGAGGAACCAATGTTTGCATTGCGATCAAAGCCATCATATGGGAAGTTAAGAAGGCTGAAGTAGGATTGAGACAGACTATTATTTGGAGTATTATTTGGTTCCATAGCATTCAGAGGAAGAGAGATTATTGGCTAGAAGAGAGATTATCTGCTTGAACAGAGATTATTGGATCAGAGAAGTAAAAGGTATGAGAGATTTAGTATTGGCTTGGATGTAATATAGAGAAGTTAAGAAGTTCATTAAAGTGTAGTGTTGTTAAAGACTTTTAATTCTAAATAACCATTACCTACTTCAGTCACTTCAGAAGTAAATGAAGGTCATTGAGTGTTTTTTATAAGTAAACCAAAAAAGTTTGGTTGTGTTAACGCATTGAACTCAACTAGAATATCCTAAGAATTCATATCATCTAGCAATTCAGTTTTGTTAAAGCATTAAGGGTTATGTTTCATATAAATCAGTTTTAAAATTGCAAGACCATCACAACTCAAGTGGAAACAGGGATCATTATCCAAATTGCAAGACCATCACAACTCAAGTGGAAACAGAGATCATTATCCAAATTGCAAGACAATCACAAATTGCAAGACATAAACCAATCAAACATCCGAGACCAATCCAAACCTTTAATTGACAGATTAGATGAAACCCTATAACATTTATACTAAACCCAAACCTAATTCACAGATTTCAAGACCCAAAATCGATGAAACATAACTGAGAGAGGACACGAGGGGACTACCTTGTCTATTTCGCCGGAGATGAGATTTGGGAGACAGAGGAGACGAGGATACAAAGGCGTAAGGAAAGGATTTCGACTTCGACTTCAAATCGCCGGACCTATGAATCGACAAAGAAGACATTTTTAACGGATGAAATTCACAAAACTATGTACAGATCGATTTCTACATGGAAGAGATCTCGATTTTGGTGTTTTAATGGCCGGAAAACACACCTTAATCGGAGAAGATGATGACCAGGAAGCTATCGCCGCTTTGGAGAGGAAGAAGGACCCTAGTCGCGATTTCGATTTTTGGAGAAATGAAAATGTTTTCTCCTTTGCAAAAAAGCGGATCCAATCACGGGCTGACACGTAGGCCAGAAACAAGGCTTAAAACAAATCTCGGGCGAGATCACTTCCCTCTGATCCAAACCCACTATTCATTTTTTCTCAATTTTTATATTCCTAAGCGCATGGCCCATGATCTGCCAATGCAGATGGCCTAACAATGTAAGCCACTTTGATATAAATACTGTTGTTGTACTATAACAATGTAAGTCACTTTGATATATTCATATATATCTTCTTAAAGCAATAGTGTTTTTGTTATACAAAATGGATGGAATATTTTTAACAGAATATGGTTCAAAATATTAATATTATGAGAACAGAAGCTGACAACACATCAAAAATTGGGACACATCAGGTAGTAACTGAAGTCAAACGTATACACCAAACTCAACAAAACCCACTCTTTTTCAAAAGTCAGTGCTCTTTCTCTTTGTGGGGTTTGTTTTACTATCGACACTTCCAAGGGACTCCATTTTTTCCCTATTTTTATAATTACACCAAAATCAACTTTTTCAAAATTCGTACTACCATCTTCTTATTATTCTTTTTTAATTCTCTCATATATTAGAATAAAATAAAAAAATTGCACGGTTAGTGAGTTTCAGACCAACAACCATATATCTCCTTGCTCTGTCTTTTAACTGTAAAACGCGTGTTCCTTCCATATTTGGTTGAATCTGAATCACAAAATATGTACTTTCCATAATATGCAAACCCTAATTTGTACTTCTGTGCAGTACACTTTCTCTCTCTCTTCATTCATTTCTCTTCTTCTATAAAATTTTATCTCAATTCAACATCACTAATATGCGAATTCTCTCTGCTTCTTCTTCTTCTTCTTCTTCCATCTTACGCCAAACCTCGAGTCTGCGAATCATTCGATTCTCAGATTGGCATCTTTTCCACGAATTGCCGGATCAAAACATTGTTTCCGTGTACGAGAAGCAACCTAACGATTTGTGGCAGGTGAGCTTATTTTATTTAATACGAATTTATCACACCGATCAAGATTACAATTTCATTTTCTTGAATTCCAGAGATCTCTAGGTTATTGAGATTTTTTTCCACAAATGGAGAACGAGAGGGTTGAGAGAGAACAGAACCAATTTCAAGAAGACGAGTTTATCGATTCGAGAAAACCACCGCCATGGAGGAAACAGATCACGGTTCGAGCCATCGTCGCGAGTTTATTGATAGGGATTGTCTACAGTGTGATCTGTCTGAAGCTGAATCTAACGACAGGACTCGTACCGAATCTAAACATCTCATCAGCTCTCTTGGCTTTCGTCTTTCTCAAATCTTGGACCAAAGTTCTTCAAAAAGCCGGAATCGCCACGACGCCTTTCACACGGCAAGAGAACACTATTGCTCAGACTTGTGCTGTTGCTTGTTACAGCATCTCCCTTGCAGGTAGTTTCTATAAACAAACCATGTCTTTATTAGTTTCGCCAAACCTCGAGGCCTCGACGAATCGGGCCAGAGCATGCCTTACTAAGTGACCTACATGCAGAGTGTGCACACAGAGGAATGGTTATTAAGGTTTTACTTATACAAGAATAAGAAAATCGATGAATTTTCCATAATGCAGGTGGATTTGCATCGTATTTGTTGGGTTTGAATAGACGAACTTACGAGCTTACGGGAGTGAACACTGAAGGAAACAATCCTCGTGGTATAAAAGAGCCTGGTGTTGGATGGATGACATCATTCCTCTTTGTCACTAGTTTCATTGGACTAGTTGTATTGGTACCTCTTCGAAAGGTAATGATTTTTAGCAAATTATGAAACAGAGTAAATTTTTGATTTCAATGGTGTGAATTTTGAGAATGAATTATGTAAATTTCAGGTGATGATTATAGACTACAAGCTAACGTATCCGAGTGGAACAGCAACAGCTGTTCTTATAAATGGATTTCATACTAGCAAAGGAAATAAGACAGCCAAGTATGTTATACATATGTTCTTGTTGAATCTTGTTTTTCTTTTCTTGTTCATGAATCGAATTGGGATATATATCGATATTTTTCGTCGTTTTTGATACAGGAAACAGATTCGCGGGTTTATAAAATCGTTTGGTTTGAGTTTCTTTTGGGCATTCTTTGGATGGTTTTATTCAGGTGGTGACAAATGCGGATTCTCTCAGTTCCCTACATTTGGGTTACAAGCTTTGGAAAAATCGTGAGTTTCCTCTGTTATTTCTTATAACCTTTCGAATTTTTTTTGCTTCTTATGTTTAAACATGTTTTGATTGAAGAAGCTTTATCTCTTTGTGGGATGCAGATTCTACTTTGACTTCAGTATGACATATGTTGGAGCTGGGATGATTTGTTCGCATTTGGTGAATCTATCGTTGCTCTTCGGTGCCATCCTCTCGTGGGGAATCATGTGGCCTCTCATAGCCCGGCTTAAAGGCGAATGGTTCCCTGCAACATTGGAAAAGACTAGCATGCAGGGCTTAAATGGCTACAAGGTTTGATTCATATTAGTTTTATATATTTTATGAATTGCGAGCTGTGGAAGCAAAATGATGCGATATGTTTCCTTTTGTGGTGTTATTAGGTATTTATATGCATTGCATTGATCTTAGGAGATGGACTTTATAACTTCCTCAAGATACTTTTCTTCACTGGAAGAAGCTTCCACTCAAGACTCTCCAAAACCAACAGCATCAGCACATGTAAGTTATGAGGAAAGATCTAGCTAACCGTGTCTTGCATTTGTTTCGATGTCAAAGTAATAACCAATTGACTGATTGATTGCAGTGGTAGAAGTTCCAGAAGATGGCAAAAAAGAATCCGATAACCTGAAACGAGAGAATGAAGTGTTCGTTCGAGAGAGCATTCCGCTATGGATGGCTTGTGTAGGATACGTATTCTTCTCCCTTGTCTCCATCATTGCGATCCCTCTGATGTTCCCTCAGTTGAAATGGTACTTCGTCCTCGTAGCTTACCTCCTTGCCCCGTCCCTCAGCTTCTGTAACGCGTATGGAGCCGGGTTAACGGATATGAACATGGCTTACAACTACGGTAAAGCAGCGCTCTTTGTGATGGCAGCACTGGCAGGAAAAAACGATGGAGTGGTGGCTGGGATGGTTGCTTGTGGTCTTATCAAATCAATTGTCTCTGTCTCGGCTGACCTGATGCATGATTTCAAGACGGGACATCTAACGCAGACCTCGCCCCGCTCGATGCTTGTTGCACAAGCCATCGGGACAGCGATAGGCTGCGTGGTCGCACCACTCACCTTCTTCCTCTTCTACAAGGCGTTTGATGTTGGAAACCAAAATGGTGAATACAAGGCTCCTTATGCTATGATTTACAGAAACATGGCCATTATCGGTGTTCAAGGTCTCTCGGCTCTTCCCCAGCATTGCCTGGAGCTTTGCTACGGATTCTTTGCCTTTGCGGTTGTTGCCAACCTGGCAAGAGACCTGTTGCCAGATAGGCCGGGGAAGTGGATCCCACTCCCGATGGCAATGGCTGTACCGTTCCTGGTGGGTGGGTCGTTTGCAATCGATATGTGTATTGGGAGTGTTGTGGTATTCGTTTGGCAGAAGGTGAACCGTAAGAAGGCAGATGTGATGGTTCCGGCTGTTGCATCAGGTTTGATATGTGGAGATGGTCTCTGGATTCTGCCTTCTTCTTTGCTGGCTCTGGCTAAGGTTAGACCTCCTATCTGTATGAACTTCACTGCGGCTCATTAAGGCGGAGAGAATTTTCAGACAAAACCCGAACTTATTGCCGGAGGAATGAATGTATACTAGATGTGGTTAGGTTAGGAGTAGACAGTTAAAGAGGGATTAAACCGCATATACATATGTCGTATATGATATGATATTAATAATTTTGGAATAAGAATGAACAGAAAGAGTTGGTTTATTCTTTTACCGGCGGAAGATTCTCTTTCCCGGCACAAAAAAATTGTTTCATATACAAAATTGAAAATGGAGGCAGAGAAACTCACCTCTGAAAGTTTCACAACACACCACACAAATCATGCCTATCTTGATACTGGCCTTGTTATATGTTACATCGGGATTTAGATAGCAGTATATCAAATCCTGGGTTTCGATCCTGTTCCAAACCTCTGACTGGCTTGGCATGAACCCACATTCACGTTGCGCAAATACAAGAACCTGCAGGCAGTTCTGATACCAGATGGCAAATCTTGATAAACAGCCATAACACATTAAACGATTATGGGATTCGAATGTTCGATCTTGGCGTGGAGGGTGACAATAAGGTCGTGTGCATCGTCTAATAGCTTCCACACGTCTAGTTTCCCTACCATATTGTGGCACTCCCGGAGAATCTCCTCCATGCTATTGTACTTCTCTATTATGACTTTCCTCCTTTGCAACACAGAAGCAGCTACCACGTACAGCAACAAATCCTCTGTGGGAGGAGCCCGCTGCTTTATTCGACGGCTCCAGGAAGATTTCCCCATGCCAGCTCTTACTGCAGCTTGGTCTGCCCAAATCACTTCCCAGAGAGACAGTGTTTGCTCCAGAGTCAGCTCTCTTCTAAACATCACAAGAACCATTCTGTAAACAAAGAAACAGTCTTCCGCCTTGACTTTCTCAAGATGCTTGTAGAGCTGTGAGTCTTTGGATTTGATAATCTTTGATACTATGTTGAGTTGCCTTGTGATCCCAACCTCATCGAGTCTGAAATTCTGACGTGCTTTCTTCATGAACCCAACAAAACACCAAAATGCCTCGTAGTCATCAGGTATGACAGAGAGTACAGGGGAGAGAAGATCACTCATTCCTTGGCAATAGCCAATTTCAGGATCATATAAGGCATAGGCTTCAAGAACAGCAACAAGCCGTGCAGCGTGAAAGACTTTCGAAGGTTCCAAATGACTGTAATCCTTTAAAACAACTGCTTCAGCAGCACGGCGTGCCCTATTCTCTGACACCATAGCTTGGGATGAGGAATATGGAGTCCACTCTGTATCGGCACGAAGAGCGTCAAGACGGATAATACGCTGCCAGGTCACAAAATCCTCTT